GTATCTATCGGAATGTAATCACAGGCTTATCAGTTATTAACTGGTTGGAATGTAACCGCGGGCTTATTGATTATTAACTGTTTGAACACATAACACATGAATAATGGGGTTATTGTGATTGTATTTACCCTTCGTTTGTTTATGTAAATCTCAAGGAATTTGGACTGGTGGGTTTGGACACATACACATGGGGTATAAAAGATTTTCACAAATGCCGGTCGGGGTCCTTTGCTAAGAGGAGACTCTGACTTCGGCCCGCCTGTATAATAAACTGCACTCCACTATCTGCATTGTCCTTCTGAGTGAGTTTGTTTCTCGGAAGGTGTGGCTACAATAGCTGAGCAACTGAACTGAACTGAACAAGTGAAGGTGGTAACTTCAGAGTGAACCCAAGATTCTGATGTCCTCCAGAGTTCTTGACCTTCTCCTATCAATAGAAATTGATAAAAGATCAGACAAGAAATTCAGGCAAGGCTTTATTGGGGCCCCTGCTGCAGTAGGGGAGAATCGAAAACAAGTAACAAGTTACCTTGCTCCTTCCATATAAGGAAGGAACTGGTTCCTTATTTGGGGTGAGGGTAGGGGTGTGTCTAGGGGGTCAAGCCTGAGAGATGGCAAAGACAGTTTGCCCACCCCTTTGGCAGTGTTGAGTGCAGGGCATGCACATTACCCTACTTTTGCTTCCAGTTCTTCAGAAGTGGCAGTTGGGTTTTTTGGTTTGCCTTTTTTTTTTTTGTCTTTTTGTATCTTGTTGTCCATAACCTCACCCAAGCATGCCTGCTGTTAGTTTTATTTTCTTATAATTTAGTTTCTTTGTATTTTGTTGCTTGAGACATTTGCCCAGGTGCAAGCCCTGCAGCAAAGGGTCCCAGGTCCCAAGTCCCAGCCTCTCAATTCCTGTAACACCAACCTGTTACCTCACCACCAGCTAATCAGAAGTAAGTCACAAACTCTGCAGCCTTCACTCCAGATTTTCCCTATAAAAACTTTTCCCTGACCGCCTTTGAGAAATTCAGGGTTTTTGAGCACGAGCTGCTCTTTCTCCTTGCTTGGTCCTGAAATAAATTTTTTTTTCTCCAAGCTCCAAAGTCTCAGTTTGGCCTCATTGTGCATTGGACACAAGAACTTCTGTTCAGTAATGTTGCGACCTGTGATTTTGGCTCCAGCGTGCATTCTCTGCGGTTGGCAGGAAGGGAAAGTTACCTAAGTAAGGATGTTTGCTCTTTTTCAGCTTAATTTAGCCAGGGGCTTAAACACCAGATCCCCATGGCAAAGTCTGGCTGTGGTCCCTTGGGTGTCTCGACCCAGAGCCAAGCAGTGTTTGCCCTGAGAGATGAAGAAAGAGCCCTCCAGTCTACCTGGAGCCCTGAGGGGTGACCAGGCCTGAGCACATCTTACTCCATGCTGTCTGGGCTAGCCTGAGGGTAGCGTCTCCCAGGATGACACAAGGCTTTCATGGTGGCTGGGGTTGCTATTTTACCACCATGACAAGACCTCCACTTCTCCCTATCTGTAGGCCCATTTCTGGCAGTCACTTTGATAAATTAGCAAGTTCTTAAGTCATTTGGACCTCCTCTGTGCTTGGTTATTCTAGCCACTTCCAGTGCCCAATCTACGCACCACCATCACTGGTGTCACTGGGCCAAAGGCCAAACTTTTTTTTTTTTTTTCAGTGAAATGTGGGTGATTTATAATTTTGTGATAATCACTGTTGTACAGAAAATTGACATGGTTATATACACAAACTCTTTCTCTTTGACAATCGAGCTCTTATCTATTTGGGTCTGGGATGCAGCCAAAAGATCCTGGTGCCATATCTAAGCCTCCTGAAAAGTGCATCCTGGTCCAGTGAGTCAGCCAAGAGGAGGGGTGCTCAGGGGAGAAGTCAAATGATTTCTTTTTCCCAGTTGAAATGTAGTTGATGTACAGTATTATGTTCATTTCAGGTACACTACTTCATAGTATTTGATATCTGCATACATTATGAAATGCTCACCACAGTAAGTGTAGAAATTATCTGTTCTGTATACAAGGATATTACAGTGTTAGTGACCACATTCCTTTTGCTGTGTATTACATTCCCTGGCTTATTTATTTATAACTGGAGATTTTCTGTTCACTTATTTCACACACACCCCCGAAACCCTCCCCTCTGGCAATCACCCATTTGTTCTCTGTATCTATGAATCTGTTTTTGTTTTCCTTGCCTGTTTGTTTTATTTTTTAGATTCTAGATATTGGTGAGATCATATGGTGTGTGTAGTTTTCTGTAGTCCTGGGTAGGTATCTGAGATCTCCCAGGGGTTCACAGGTATGTTGAGTGTCCTCATCTGCTTTCTTCCACAGCTTGACTCATGAGTAGTGAATCCAGGAGTCAGGCCCTGGTACCTTGACTGCTGTGGGGGAAGAAAGTATTACAGGTGAGCTGGAGTTGAACCTTTGGGGACCTATCTTTCCAGACCTTAATTAGGACTTGAGTCCCTGGAGCATATAGTGGTGGCCCTTTAGACTCTTTTGGATCCTTGTTGACACCCCATATTTCTTCTTGGAATTGCCCAATGGCCACGGTGTAAGATCAGAGGTTCTGAGCCTCTGGATCTAGGAAGAGGTCACTGATGTAAACAAAAGGTCTCCTATGTAGCATCTCATAATGCCTAAGACTGACCTGTTCCATAGGGGCAATACAGTGTGGAGGAGAGCTATTGTTGAAGCCTCCTTGCACCAGAGGGAGAGCTCCTTGGTTATCTTTTTTATCTCTGATTTTAAGATTTGGTTGGTTCTCTCTACTTTTTCTGAAGACTGAGGCCTCCAGCCACAATGGAGCTAATAAGTAATGCCCAATGCTTTAGAGACTCCGTGGGTGACTTTAGAAGTAAATGATGTCTCATTATCACTTTGTAGTGACCTGGGCAGGCCAAATCTTGGAATGATTTCATGGAGCAGTTTTTTTTACCACCTCCTTGACCTTCTCAGTCCGGGTGGGAAAACCTTCAGTCCATCTTGTGAAGGTATCTATCATGACTAGTAGGTATTTATACCCTTGAGAAACTGGCATCTGGGTGAAGTTCAACTGCCAGTCCTCTCCTGGATGGGTCCCATTCTGTTGGATGGGCTGGCCAGCTGGAGTCTTCAAGCTCCTTGGGGTTGTTCAGTTGACAAGTGAGAGAAGAGGAGACCACTTGCCTTATAGTTGTTTGGAGGCCTGTTCCTCTGAAGGAACTTTCTAGTAATCTTTGGAGTTCCTTGTCACCTAAATGAGTGGTGGCATGTAAGGAGTTAACCAACTTCCATTGGCGGTTCCCAGGCAGAAAAAGGAATCGCTCCTTTTGGAACCTCCCCATGTGATCTTCTTGAAAGCCC